AAAATATATAAAGAATTCATACAACTGAAAAGCAAAAAACCAAAAAATACGAAAAATGGGCACAGAGTCTAGACATTTTTCCAATGACATACAGGTGGCCAACAGGTACATGAAAAGACGCTCAACATCATTTGCCATCAGAGAAATGCAAATCAAAGGCACAATGAGATGTCACCTTATGCCTGTCAGAATGGCTAAAATTTTTTTAAAAATCTAAAAAAAATTTAAAAAAAAAACAAGAAATAACAAGGGTTTGTGAAAATGTGGAGAAAAGGGAACCCTTGTGCACTGCTGGTGGGAATGTAAACTGGTGCAGCCACTATGGAAAAGAATATGGAGGTTCCTTGAAAAATTAAAAAGAGAACTACTATATAACCTAGCAATTTCATTTCTGGGGGTATTTATTCAGAGAAAATGAAAGCACTAACTTGCTGGCCTTGTAAAATGAGTTCAGAAGGGTTCATTCCTCTTCAGTTTTCTGGAATAATTTGAGGATAGGTACTAACTCTTCTTTAAATGTTTTGTAGAGGAGGGAGCTAAGATGGTGTTGTAGCAAGAGGACCCTAGGCTTATCTTGTCCCTTGAACACAACTAGATAACTAACAAATCATTCTGAATGCCCAAGAAATCAACCTGAGTACTGATAGAACAAACTGCACAACTAGGAGAAAAGAGGCCACATTGAGAAAGGTAGGAGGTACAGAGACGTGGTTTGGGGAAGAAATGGATCACAGCTGCTGCAGAGAGGAGGGAGACCAAGTTGCAGAGAAGGAGGGGGTGGAACACATGGGAATGCACAAGGAGAACACCTCCCCAAAGCCATTGGCTGGGAAGACGAGAGGGGCTGAATTTGCTGAGGTTTTTTTTTTCTTTTTTTTTTTTTAATTATGTTATGTTAATCACCATACATCATTAGTTTTTGATGAAGTGTTCCATGATTCATTGTTTGCATATAACACCCAGTGCTCCATGCAGAACGTGCCTTCTTTAATACCCATCACCAGGCCAACCCATCCTCCCACTCCCCTCCCCTCTAGAACCCTCTGTTTGTTTTTCAGAGTTCATCATCTCTCACGGTTCATCTCCCCCTCCAATCCCCCCCTTCATTCTTCCCCTCCTGCTATCTTCTTCTTTTTTTTTTTTTTTTTAACATATAATATATTATCTGTTTCAGAGGTACAGATCTGTACCTCCGGAGTTTTTTTTCAACCAGTGGGGGTCAAAGATTGGAGATTTAAAAGTTGGTAGGCTTGGCTGGGATAGAGCCCTGAGGGCACTACCCTACTCCTGCAGAGAAGGCAAGCAAGCAGCACTGGGGGCAGACAGGGTGATGTGAGGAATGCTTACACCCCACAGAGGAGAGATCATTTGTTCATCTTGGAGTGCATCTGTGAAAGGTGGCATTTGCAGAGATGCCTCTCTGGGGACAAAAGAGCTGGTAGGCGCCCTTTTCCGTCCCCACCCCTTGGCATAGCCACAGAACCACTTGCCGAAGGTGGCTCACCACAAACTGGCTGCCTAGCCTGCTTGCTCTAAGTCCCATGCCCCATGCTCTGGCACAACTGCCCTTCTCGGTCAAACCTGGAGACTCTCCCCCAGAAGACCAGCACAAGCCCCCACCACACCATATCCCTAAAGTTTAGAGTTTTAAAAGTCATCAGGCGTGGCTGGGATACAGCCCAAAGTGTACTGTGCTGCTCCTGGCAGGCAAGCAACCTGGACACAGACAATGTGAAAACAGTGATCTGAAAAATACCTGTGACGCACAGGGGGAAGATTGTTTGCCCTTCTGGGAGTGCTTCCCTGAGAGCAGCAAGTATGCAGATCTCTCTCCAGGGACAAAGGAGCTGGCTGGCTCCACTGCCCTCCCCCCACCCCTCAGCATAAACCAGCTTCAGTAAATAGCACAGTGCCGACACTGGCTACCTAACCTCTTAGACCAAATCCTGCCGCCCTGCACTCTGCTGGTATTGCCCCACTCGGGGATATGTGGCTTAGTCCCCGTGCAGTGGGCCCCTTTCCCAAAAGACCAGCAGAAACCCCTGCACACACCAAGTCTCCCGACCAGAGTTCTCCAAGGCTTCAGTTCTAGTGGAAGTAGCATCAGGTCTCATTTAATAAGCAGACCAGAGCAAACCTGTTAAAACTTGCCACACTCTGGCTAAGGTCCAAATGCTGCCCACTGCAGGCAAGGAGAGCCTCTGCAGAACACTGGCCTGAAGGACAGAGCAGCCAAAACACAGCAGCAGAGAACACACAGCACACACCAGAGACACTTCCTGAAGCACCAGGCCCTGGACACTGTATGACCTATTCTTCATAAAGCCATTACTCTGAGGAACAGAAAACATAACAGGCTTTTCTAACACAAAGAAAACAGAGACTTAGACAAACTGCCAAGATGGAAGAATTCATCCCAAATGAAACAAGAAAAGGTCACGGCCAGAAATCTAATTGAAAGAGACATAAGTAATATGCCTGATGAAGAATTTAAAGCAACAATTATAAGGATACTCACTGAGCTGGAGAAAAATATGAAAGATGTCAAAGATGCCCTTACCACAGAGATAAAAGAATTTTAAGAAATAAAAAATGAAAAATGCAGTAACTGAAATTCAAAACAGACTGGATGTAATGAACACTAGGATGGAAGAAGCAGAGAAACAAGTAAGTGATATCGAAGATAGAATAATGGAAAATGAGGAAGTAGAGCAAAGCAGAGAAAGAAGAATTATGGATCATGAGAATAGACTTAGGGAATTCAATGACTCTATCAAACATAATAGCAATGGTATTAGGAGTCCCAAAACAAGAAGAGAGAGAAAAGGGGGCAGAAAATTTATTTGAGGAAAAAATAGCTGAACACTTCCCTAATCTGGGGTAGGAAACAGATGTCCAAGTCCAGGAAGCACAGAGAACTCCCATCAAAATCAACAGAAGCTAGGCCGACACCAAGATATATTATAGTTAAATCTGCAAAATATAGTGATAAAGAAAAATTCCTAAGAGCAGCAGGACAAAAGAAATCCCTAACTTACACGGGAAGACCCATAGGGCTGACTACAGATCTTTCCACAGAATCTTGGCAAGTCAGAAGAGAGTGGCAAGATATATTCAATGTGCTGAATGGGAAAAATATGCAGCCAAGAATACTTTACCCAGCAAGGCTCTCATTCAGAATACAAGGAGAGATAAAGGGTTTCCCAGACAAACAAAAACTAAAGGAATTCATGACCACTAAACCAGCCCTGCAAGAAATATTAAAGGGGACTCTGACTGGAAAGAAAGACCAAAAGTACAGACTAGAAAGGAACAGAGAACATCTCCAGAAACACCAACAAATCAACTAATAAAATGGCACTAAACAGATATATATCAATAAGCACTCTGAATGTAAATGGACTAAATGCTCCAACCAAAGGACACAGAGTATCAGAATGGATTAAAAAAAAAAAAAGACCCAATGGTTAGAGTCATTTTATTCATAATTGCCAAAACCTGGGAAAACAAATATCCTTCAAGAGGTGAATAAACAAACTGATACACCTATACAGTGAAATACTCCTCAGCAATAAAATGTGAACTACTGAATTTAACATCTTGGATGAATATCAAGAACACTAGAGTGACAGAACCCAGTCACAAGTTTTTACCTATGATTACAATTACATGACATTCTTGAAGTCAAAACTATAGTTATGGAGGAGTAATTAGTGGTTCCTAGGGATTACTAATAGGGGAGAGTGTGACTGTTAAGTATGAGGGTGTTTTTTTTTTTTTTTTTTTGACACACTGAGACTATTTTGCATTCTGTATACTGGAAGCAGTAACAGAAAAGTTTGTTTTGTTTTTAAGATTTATTTATTTATTTGGGCGGGGGGGACAGAGGGAGAAAGAGAATCCTCAAGCAGACTCCCTACTGAGCACAGAGCCCAACAAGGGCTCGATCCCAGAATCCTGAGATCATGACCTGAGCTGAAATCAAGAATAGGCTGCTTAACTGACTGAGCCACCCAGGCACCCCAGCAATAACCAAATCTATACATCTGTTAAATTCCCAGAATCTACACTTTTTTTAAAAAAGATTTTTTTAAGTCATCTCTAAACCCAAAGTGAGGCTCATACTCACAAACCTGAAATCAAGAGTCTCATGCTCTTCCAACTGAGCTAGCCCTAGAATCTACATCTTTAAAAGTTCATTTTAACGTATAATAATTTAAATAAAACATTTAACAAAAAATGTATGAGAACTATAAAAAAACATTATAAGACAATATTATCTCAGCTTTGCTTTTAAAAATGCGTAAAAGAAAGTATAGGAGCTAATTATCCAGATGAGAACTCTGGATATTTGGATTATATTAATGTTTTTTTCCTGTGGTTTTCCTATAGTAACAGATTACTTTTAAAGCTAGGAAAATAAAATTTACTTAATAGGAAATTTTTACAATACATTCAAATCTTCTAAACCCCAGCAGTTTAGAGTGTCACATTTTGTTTCCATTACTTCTTTTGAAAATCATATATGTAAAACATTTTATTTGTATCTTAAATTTGAATTTAATTATTCTTCAAAAATGTCCTATAAATTATTTAATGATGGGAAAATTGAAAACAATTTTCAATGTTTTCAACATTATGGTATCTAAATGATTGAAAGGTTCCAAAGAAATTTTTTTATGACATTTTCAAAACTTCAGAAGTTTGAAAGTATTCAATACTTTAAAGTCTGTAACATATTGGGGCGCCTGGGTGGCTCAGTCATTAAGCGTCTGCCTTCGGCTCAGGTCATGATCCCAGGATTCTGGGATCGAGTTCCACATCGGGCTCCCTGCTCGGCTGGAAGCCTGCTTCTCCCTCTCCCACTCCCCCTGCTTATGTTCCCTCTCTTGCTGTGTCTCTCTCTGTCAAATAAATAAAATCTTTAAAAAAAAAAAAGTCTGTAACATATTAACCCTATAATTTTCTTTTTAATCCTTTTTCAATTAAAAAAACAACAGACAAGTACTTGACGGAAGAAATGAACTTGAAAAAGACACCTGTGCTGAATCTTTGACGCCTAAGACCTGTAATAAAGAAGGTAATGGTACCCAAATTACCCGAAGTATTTAAAGCATAACTGAATAACAGTGTTATAGCTGGGAAGAGCTTCCAGTAAATGAATAAAAATAAGAAATCCCTGGGCATTGCTAGTTGGTGTGTTATAAGACAGTTCTTGGATAATATAATATAAAATACCAAGTCAGCTGATTATAACAAAGGCTTAATTTTAATGATCATACAAATAAATTAGGGGATCTTGTTAAAATGTTGATTCTCACTGAATAGGTCTGGAGCAGAGCCCATGATTCTGAATTTCTAACAGGCTCTCAGTAATGTGTATATTGCTGGCTTGGAGATTATACTTTGAGAAGCCAGGCTTTGAAGGTCACTGAGAAAAATGGCATGATTCTTGCCTAATTTAGTAAGGAAGAAATGTACATAGTAAGTTAGACTACAAGTGGTAACCCCCCAAAAACATGAGGAGGTAAGAGAGCAATCACTTCCAGCCAAGATGTTCAGCTGAGCAGGTGGCCTTCAAAAATAAGAATTTCAACATGCAGAAGAAATCGTATGAGAAATTATAGAAAAAAGCACAAATAGCACATAGATGACTGTGTGTGGAGGAGCAAAAATAGTTAATATTTGAATGTTCTCACTATGTCCCCTTTTCACTATTCCCTAAAGGTGAATCTTAACTTCGCCTATTTACTTTCTTACCTTTCTCTCTGAAGATGGGTCATTTCTGCTTAACTAAGTCTTTGAGACTTTGAAATGCAAAATTTGGAACAAAAGAAAAAATACAGAGAAAGACAAGAGAGGCATGTGGAGCTGAGACTTTATATGAAGGGTTTGGTTTTTGGGTTTTTTTTCTGCATAGCCCAGAGAAGGAAGTGCATGAGAGCAACTTCAGCATCTGAGGGAAGTGGACGGGAGAAAAAAAGAACTTTTCAGAAGTATTGCATAGTGCCAGGCATATAGCACTTACTTTGCTGCTATTGTTTTATAAACTGAGGTCTATCAGGTGTGTCACAAAGCCAACATAATACATGGTCCCAACTCTGACCCAAAATACTATCACTTCAACTCTTTAGTTGTTCTCATCTATAAATTCAAAATTTCAATGGAACAATTCTTACAAAGGATGAGCAGTTGATTAACCAATTTAAAGCAATGCTTTGGGCATTAGTAGTTTAAAGTTAATGATTCCCGGTAGGGGGAAAAAATGGCATTTTCCAACTTTGTTTTCCTTTGAATTTGAAAGGAAGTGGGAAGTTAATAGTATTCAACAAGGCCAGCAGCTAATTGATGGTTACTAGCAAGATGGCAGAATAGGTCTCCAGCCCTCGTTCCCCCAAAAAAACATGAATTTGGCAACCATCCACAAACAAAAGTGCCATTGTGGGAGCTTCAAAATCCAGGTAGGTAGTTGCAACACCACAGTGGAGTTCAAGACAGAGGACTCTTTGAGAAGGCATACCCTGCCCCAAGGCCTGACTACAGACCCAGGAGCAACTCTATTACCCCATGTGCCTATTCTAGCCCCACACATCCATTGTCATGCTACCAGTCCTGCCTACCAGTGGACCTGGTAGGGATGACACCTGCCTGTGACCCTAACAACAGGCTCACTGACTGCAGATCCAACTGCAGACCTAGAAACAACCCCATAACTAACTCCCAACTGCTCAACTGTGATCCCAGAGTCAGTCTTGTCCACCCAAGGGACCAGGGAGGAGACATGCCAATCTGTGTCCCAAGTAACAGGCCTGCCAGCTATGGACTCAGAAGTAGCTTATCCACCTGGGTAACCAACACAAGCTATGCCTGCTGATGCCCCCAGTAATAAACCAGCTAACCACTGACCTGACTGTAGACTTGAAAGCAGCCCCATGATCTGACCCTGGTTCTGCTCAACTGCACTCCTGGAGGCAGGCTTGTTTCCTGGGAACCTGCTGAGTAGGTCTTCACCTACCAAAAGCACTTCGTAAAGAATGAAACAAGTTCCTGCTCCTTTAGTTGCACAGACACCAGTGCAAGGCTATAGAGTCACAAGGAATCAGGCAAACATGACACCACCAAAGGAAACTAAAAAAGTTCAGTGACCAATGCCAAAGAAATGGAAATCCATAACTGCTTAACAGAGAATTCCTAAAAACTGTCATTAAAAAGCTCAATGAGCTAAAAGAGAACACAGATAACTAAAGAAAATCAGAAAAACAATCACATGAACAAAATGAGAAGCTCAGAAAATAAAAACAAAAAAATTAAAGAAATAAAAACTATTAAATCTGGAGATGAAGAATTTAATGATCAAACTGAAAATTTCTGTAACTTCAACGGCAGAATTAAGCAGAAGAAAGAATCAACAAACTCAAAGACAACTCATTTGAAATTATAAATTCAGACCCACAAACAAGAATGAAAAAATGAAGAAAGCCCATGGGACTTAATACAACACCAAAAAGAACCAACATATTATAGGAGTTTCAGAAGGAGGAGAGAGCGAGAAAGGGGCCAAAAACTTAAATAATGGTTGAAACATCTCAAATCTACACAGGAAAAAGAACATCCAAATCTGTGAAGCCCAAAATTTCCCAAATATGTTCAACCCAGAAGGATCATCATGTGACACATTATAACTAAACTGTCAGAAGTCAAAAATAAAGAATTTTCACAGCAGCAAGAGAAAAATGACTTGTCACATGCAAGGGACTATACAAGGAATAGCACCTAAGACTATCAGTGGATTTCTCAGCTGAAACCTTGTAAGCCGAAGAAGGTGGGTAGATATATTCAAAGCACTGAAAGAAAAAAAAAATTGCCAAACCAGAATACTTTACCTGGTAAAACTGTACTTTAAGAATAAAAGAGGAGAAGTTAAGATGGCAGAGTAGTACAAGGACCCTGTATTTGCCTTGTCCCTCCAGCATGGCTAGATAAATATCAAATCATTCTGAACACCCAGGAAATCAATCTGAGAACTGAGAGAACAAACTGCACAACTAGAGGGAGAAAAGTGGTCACATCCTGGAAACTAGGAGATGCAGAGATGTGATTTGGGGGAGAAAAGAATCACAGGTGCTATGGAGGGGACAGAGCCCTAATCCGGGAGAGAGGGGAGAGAGAGAGTGACTAGAGGGTGGGGCATTACACAAGAAAAACACTTCCCCAAAACCACTGATAGGGAAAATGAGAGAGGCTGATTTTTGCAAGCTTTTAGAAACAGCAGAGCTCAGAGACTAAAGTTTTAGAAGTCTAAAACATCTCCACATAGAGCCTGGTGGGTGTAGAGGTGCTCCTGTGGAGAAGGAGGGCAGAGGCCCAGGAGCAGACAGTGGACAGTGTGCTCTGAGGATCTCTGGTGGCACTGGGAGAGACAGTTCTCCTTCTCCTTCTTGGAGTGTATTTGGGAGAGATGGCACTGCCTCTCCAGGAACAAAAGAGCCTGTTGGGCAACATTGAGCATATGAGCAGAGACACCTGCAGAGGGCAGGTAACCTGGACACTGGCTTTTTGCTGCACTTTACCATAAACTTCAAGCCCCTACACATTTGTGTGACTGCTCTTCTGGGACAAACTGGCACCAGCCACAGCTTGGCCAGACCCTCCTCCAGTAGATCAGTGTGGGTCCATACGGCACTAGGTCCCTAAAATTTGGAGTTTTGAAACCCAGCCAGCATGTCTGAGATAAAACACAGGAGCACTGAATGACTGGATGGGCAGACATCTCAGAAACAGACAGGGTGAAGGCAGTGATCTGAAGGATGCCAGGGACAAACGAGGGGTAATTGTTTGCTCTTCTTTGAGAGCTTCTTGAGCAGCAGTGGGTGCACACTCCACTCTCTGGGGACCAGAGAGCCCACTGATGCCATTTCCACCCCCTCCACCCCCTCTCCTCCCCCACCCTCCCCATCAGCATGGAGGAACTTCAGTGAGCAGCAAAGCACCCCACAGTGGAGGCTTGGGCCACTCACACCAAGCCACGCCCCTCTGCGGCTCTACAGGTGCTTCTGAACTAGGGCAAGTGTGCCTGAGACTCAAAACAGTAGTGGGCCTCTCCCCCAAAAGACCAGCACAAACCCCCTGCATGCATCAAGTCTACCGACCATAGAGTGCTGAAAAGCTTCAGCTCTAGGAGAAATAGGATCTAGCCTCTTTTAACAAGCAGAACAAAACATGCCTAGTTAAAACACTAACCACTGCAGGCAAAGAGAAACTCTGCAGAGAACTGACCCAAGGGAAAAAGCAGCCAAAACACAATAGCAGAGTGCACACAGCATACATCAGAAACATTTCCTGAAGTTCCAGGCCCTGGACAGGATAGGACCTCTTCTTAATATAGTCATTACTCTCAGGAGCATGAAACATAACAGTTTTTCATAACACAGAATACAGAGACCTAGACAAAATGCCAAGATGGAGGAATTCACCCCAAAAGAAAGAATAAGAAGAGGTAATGGTCAGAGATCTAATCAAAACAGATATTAGTAATATGCCTGAACCAGAATTTAAAACAACAATCAGAAGGATACTAGCTGGGGCTTCAGAAAAGCATAGAAAACACCAGAGTCCCTTAGTGCAGAGATAGAAGACCTAAAAACTAGTCAGGCCAAAATTTAAAAAAAAAAAAAAATGCTATAACCAAGATGCAAAATGAGCTGGATATAATGACCACAAGGGTAGAAGAAGTAGAGGAATGAATAAGTGATATAGAAGACAAAATTATGGAAAATAATAAAGCTGAAAAGAAGAGGGAAAGAAAAATATTGATTGTGAATACAGACTCAGGGAATTCAATGACTCTGTAAAGTGTAACAACATTCATATCATAGGAGTTCCAGAAGAGGAGAGGGGGGAAAATGGGCAGAAGGTTTATTTGAGCAAATTATAGCTGAAAACCTCCCTAATCTGGAGTAGAAGACAGACATCCAAATCCAGGAGGCACAGAGAACTCCCATCAAAATCAACAAAAGGAGGTCAACATCAAAACATATTGGAGTAAAATTTGCAAAATACAGAAATAAGGAAAGAATCCTG